CTGATGCAACCATGGAACTCACTCCTACTCATGCATATTTTTTTTCCACATCCCCTTCCCAAGAGGTCTTGCTAAAACTCTGAAGTATCATCCTCTATCTACAGTACTGAACTTCGTCTCTATCACCCTCCACTAAAGAGTACCATTTTCTTTCATGAACTTCCATAGCTACTTACCCAGTAAAGCCAGATTCATCTCTGCAAACAATCTGAATCCCAAACCTCCTTGTGACATTAGCTTTTTGATCTTGTCCCATGCTACCAAATGGTACTTCCTCCCATCCTCAGAATCACCGCAAGAAGATCTATTTTCTTATTTCCTGGATATCCTATTTCCTAATTCTTTTATTTTGATGCCTGTAAATAAGGTACCATAACTTAATTGTTAAGTGAACTATCTATGATTATTATTCAAATATGAAATATTGTTTAGTTATTGAGCTCGAGATCTCTAAATTTGGTTCTTAATAAAAATTCTCTAAGTTTGTATTCAATCTTTCTTTCTCCTACATCACCACTATTATTTCAAAAAAAACGAAAAGAGCTCAAGATTATGAGGGTTTAAGTGAAGCAATAAGATATTACACATCATCAAACATTGACATATCTTAATTTTGTGCTAACTTTTAGTTAAGAAATTCTCTTGCCTTTTTTTTTTCCAGTATACTATAGTACCCAACTCAACCAAGACCATCAAACTTATTTTTTCTCAGTTGATATGTCCTAAACTTGATATGCATATATTGACCACGATCGATTTAAACCTTCTATTTGATGGTTCCATGGGGGTGAAATCCATACAATGAAACTTAGAGCAAGAAAAGAAAGGTGCCCATTGGTGAATATCTAAAAAATATGGAGAGGAAGGATCTAGACCTTATGTTTATTGCAACACTTAACAATCTCGGAAACTTCCTCTTCAGATCTGCATGCAATAATACAACTTAGCTTATTTTCAGCATAAGCCTAGGAAAATGTAGTAAATAAGTAAAATAACATACCATTTAATAGGTTACATAGAGAAAAAAAACAGAAAGCATAAACACTTGGCGAACTTAGGACCTAAAAGAATAAACCACAGTCTTCAAATCCAGCCAAAAGGACGAAAATATGAATGTGATAACAAAGGTCAAGAACAATCTAACCTGGGGAAAACAACCACATCGGGAATGTTCACTGCTTTGTGAAAGCTGTTTTGTGGTTTTCCATGGAAGTACCTTTCATCGTAATCCATTGTCATGTTTTCCTATACCAATTAGTAACATTAAACCATGAGTAATCAACAGACTGAGACATGCTTTTTATCTAACGATAGACTTTGGAAAAGAAAAATGAGTTAATGATCCCTCTAGTGAACATAGATCATAATAGGAGGAAATAATGGCATTCCATGTGAATCCAAATCGTTCAAAGATTTCAAGATACATTACTTGACAGATAGCCTTTAACTCATGAATAAGCTCTTTTGGAACTTCCTTGTGATAGCCTTTAACCACAAACTCAGTGCTACCCTTGCCCCCAATAGGTAGACCCCTATAGAAATTAACAAATGAATCATAATCCATACAGAAACTACTATGTAAAGGAAAAAAGATCATCCAAAGTATGTCTGGCTTAGCTTAAGTAGCAAAACTGGTAGTTTATAGAGCCTATAAACTCTTTACTTGCTTATATGAACTTATTCAATAAAATAAGTTCTTAACCTCTAATTAAAAATATATTTGTATGCAAAAACTTAATTTAAAAGAATGAAAATGCATAATTAGAGCCTATAAACTCTTTACCTGCTTATATGAACTTATTCAATAAAATAAGTTCTTAACCTCTTGTTAAAAATATTTTTATATGCAATAACTTAATTTAAAAAAATGAAAATGCGTAATTAGAAAAAGTGAAACTTAAAAGTGTTCACATTTAAGGATAATATATCATCTATTTTCTCACCAGTCATATTGGAAGTTATTCTTATATTCTAACAAAAACTACATTCTATCTTTAAAAACACTACCTCTAAGCTTTTGAACATTCTCCTCTCTGGAAAAAAAAGAAGCTCTAGTCTGGATTTCAAAAACTATTATTGCAGAAGCTGCCTACTAGCTTGTCAGCTTTCTATCAGTTGTTACGTATCAAATATTCAAACTCCTGAACAGCTTGTGAAATTTCTATTAGTGTAGCTGATTTTGATCTCTATTAACATAAGTTAATAAACAAACAACCTAAGCTTTCCCTTAAAAAATGCTACAAAGTATTGTCAGCTCTCTCTCTCTCTCTGTGGAAGACATTTTGTCACTTACGAATTTTGATCAATAAAATTTAAGCATTTGACTAACAAGGAAAATATGTAGTGAACGTGTAAGCTAATTTCTTTTAGTTTTCTTCAATTACCTTGTCAATAATAAACTAATAGCAAAGCTTAACTTCAACTAACACAAACAGAATAACAAACATGAAAAGACATGGCAGAGCCTCGACCGAGAATCTGTATTTGATGAATCACATAGAGAAGTCTGATTTTGGAAGTGAAAGGCGAACGATCCGGAAGAGACAGCGATTGCTATGGGAAGCAAGTAGCTGGACCATCCAAATGATCGTCTTGCGTTCTCTGATTCGAGCACTCCAGCTGGTGCTTTGAAGTTGCGGAAGAATGAAGCGTGGAGATTGTTGAAGCTGATTTTCGAACAATAGCGTAGACGAAAGAACCAGCTAGAGAACGCCATGGAAGTTGTCTCCTGATGAGCAAATGAACCAGAGAGACCGGGAGCTAGAGAGGGAGGGAGAGAAAATGGGTTGAATGAGCCGAATGGGAAGTGCCAAGGATAATAACAGATGTTGAGTTGAAGTAACATTTTTAATTTTTATTAATATAAAAAATTATTTAATTTTATTTTCAATTTAAGTTTTATTAACAATTTTTTTAATAAAAAGATGAAATATTACGTAATAATTAAATTTCTTTTTTTTTCCTGAGCAGTAATTTGAAGATTAGGTCCTATTCTACCTTTGAAACAAATGTAATTTTTTTACATAACTTTTGGATTATGATAAATGATAGAATTTTAATATATATTATTTTACGGGCGTAAAAAAATTATATTTATTTTAACTTCTAATTATAACAAATCATATTTAACTAATAAATTTTGAAGAAAATTTTTAAACTACTAAATTAGTGGTATTTGATAAATATATTTGTTTTTCATTATACTTCAATCTAATTTAATTAATTTCATATATGTCATGACAATTAAAACTCATTAAATTAGTTTAATAATATAAATAATAATTATTTATTTAAATATAAATATAAATATAATTATATTGATAAATAATTTTTTTTTCTTATTTTTTTATAACATTTACTATTATATATAATATATAGGGATAAATTAATAATTTAACTAAAAATACAACCATCCCATTCTATCATCCAAACAAAAATATGATATTAACATACATTAATATACCATCATTCAAACGTAAAAAATACTACCATTACGATCCTATATCATTGTCATTCAATTACTGATATTACTATATATTAATTAACCATCACCGAAATTTATCTAAGTAAAATCTTAATTACACAGTTATTTATACTTTTTTTAAATTATTAAGTATTATGAATTATATTTATACTGTAAATTTTAAAATTGCTATTAAATTATTGACTTAAAATATTTTTAATTAAAAATTATTTAATATTTAATAAAAATTAAATTATTTTTTAAAAACTACACATAATAGCTTTTACTTGTAAATATGTCAAAAGTAACTTTTTACTTTTGATAATGCAATTCTTTTTTAGAAGAATAAAATCAGCATTCCAAATATTTTCAAACGTACAGCAAATTTTTAATTTTATTATGCTCTGTCAAATTATTTTTATTATTGTAAAACAAATTTTTACTATTTACAATCAGACAAATAAATTTCATAAAACAAAGTTTACTTCAAAACATAATCTAAACATATCTAATGATAACCTCCTCACAGTCACATGTCCCTGTTAGAACAAGAGATCTAAAATCAACACATTAAGTTGAGGCTTCATCAACCTACTAATACTATCACGAACCAAAAGATTTAGCTGTTTTCGCATAAGAAAAGAAAAGAATCTGTCGATGCACACTGCAAAACAGGTACATGCTTAAGAACTAAACACGCAAAAACAAAGTTCAAAGATAATCACATCGTGCCATTTACAATCTCTTGTTTTCGAAATAAACTTTATTGTTGAACATTAGAGATTAGCAACGAGTAACCACAGAAAAGAACCTTTTATGCTTATCTTCACAAATCCCACAATCAATCCTCCTGCAACCAGACCAACATGAACAAGTTAAATTTCACTTCAAATTACAAAATTATACCTAGCATTACAGCACAATACCAACAAGTATACAGTACAAAATGAAGATTATAATATATATATATTGGACATGATTATGAATACTGTTCAGGTTACAAAAATTGCAGTTAAAAGTTTTTTCCTGGTTACAGCACCATTCTGTCCATACCAA